AGAAAGATTGGATTCATCAGATTGTTTCAGATTAAAAGGTTGAAGACACAGAGGTTCTGTAACTAAAGCAGGAAGGAGGACTCAATTCTGTCTCTGCTTTGACAACTCATATGTGGGGGGAAGTATCTCTTGTAGTTCACCCAGAATTTGTTCCTCTAGATCAAATGGTCATCCAAAGTTTTTATCTGGAGTTTTGAGAAGGTTGCCTCAGAATTTGTGGAAGAAATGTCCTGAGTTGTGGCAAACAGGTGACTGGTTCTTCCACCATGACAATGCATCTGCCTACACGGTACTGAGTGTTCAGTAGTTTTTGACCAAAAACAGCAAGACCCCCAGTCCTGCCTTCCCTATTCACTCCATCTTGTCCCAAACAACTTTTTTTTGTTTTCCTGGATAAAAAAATCCTCAAAGGGAAATGTTTTGCTGATGTAGAAGAGGTGACCCCAAAAACGGCAGAAGCACTAAAAGGCATCAAAATTGATGAATTAAAAAACTGTTTTAAGCAGTGAAAAAAAGTGTCTCAATAGGTGTATTGCATCAAATGGAGAGTACTTTGAAGGTGACTGAAGTTTAAACATGTAAGAATAAATACACAATGTTTAATAAATTCCAGAATGTCTTGGGTTGCCCCGCATATTCTTCTTCAAAAAACTTCAGCTACTCCCTACTGCTGCCTTACTGCAGCCCAATGAGTGTGCTGAGATATTCTGATCCTCTTTGCTTTTGGGGCAGCAGAACCCTCTTAGCTGGTCATGGGGACTATTTGCCCTAGAGCTATGCATTCAGAAAGGGCCTGGATTTTAAAATGTCATATTATGTATTCTATGGCATAAGCAATATGTTTGCTTGTACGTTAAAAGCATTTATTAGGTCATTCTAAACATTTAGAAGCAAACACAATTTTTGTAACTCTGTTTTGGCAGTTTATTTATTTTTTAAAATGTACCAAGAATTTTAAAAACAAGGAAATGACCCAGGCTCCTAACCTCTGAGAGGCCCCAATTGCCTACTGCACAGCCACTCACAATATGGCCATGGCCACGGTCATAGAGGCTAATGAGGAAGTCAGACTTTCACTAAGTGAGGTCTGGGTGCCTTGGGAAGGTATGATAGGGAAACCCCCTGTTTGGGCCATTGGGGGAGGATTTCCCAAGCAGATGAAATTGAAGGGACTAGCAGAAATCAGCCCCTTTTTCTAAGGGGATGGAGGGGAGGGAGGGTCAATGTGAGGCAGCAGAGGTGATAAGTCTTCATAACCAATTAATTTTGAGGGAGATAGATTCTAGAATGATTCTCATATTTTGACTTTGAGCAAGTGGGTGAATGGTGGTGGTGGTAATCAAAATAGGTAATGGGTTGAGAATTATTATTATTATTATTATTTTCTGTCTGGTCAGCTATTTTTAAAAATTTATTTATTTATTATAAAGATGTGGGGTACAATTCAGGGTTAGGTATACAAACACTGATCATGCAGGTACCCTTGTTGGTGAGTTATGCCGCTCCCTCCCCTAGCAGTTTCCCTCAACTCCCAGTCTCATCCCCCTTCCCCTGACAGTTTTCCACTACTGCCAGTCACTTTCTTATAGCATTATACTTGTTTAAGGTTACCTTATGAGTGAGAACATATGGAACTCAGTTCTTTGTTTCTGTGATAAATCACTGAGTATGATCAACTCCAAATCCATCCAAGTTGCTGCAAAGTCCATATATTTGTCCTTTTTTATGGCTGCATAATATTCCATTGTGTATATGTACCACATTTTTTTTAATCCAGTCTAGCTTCGATGGGCAACACAGTTGGTTCCATGTTTTTGCTATTGTGAAGAGAGCTGCAACAAACATATGTGTGCAGGTATCTTTTTTGTAGAATAATTTGAGTTCTTCCGTGTATATTTCCAATAGGGGAATTGCTGGGTCATATGGAAGGTCAATTTCTAGTTCTTTCAGAAATCTCCATAATGTTTTCCAGAAAGGTTGTACAAGTTTGCATTCCCTCCAGCAGTGTAGAAGTGTACCTTTTTATCCACATCCTCGCCAGCATCTGTTGTTGTTTGTTTTATTAATGATGGTCATTCTGGGGGGAGAATTATTTTCTGGCAATGGGCGGGTAGATAATAGGAATAGTTCAGCTTTGGGGTATGTTGAGAAGAGTGTTCTTTGAGCATCTGAGTAGAAATGTTTTGTAAATACATGATCTTGTGTTATAAGAAGAGCTTAGTTACGGTTGTTTAGAACCTCATAGTATATAAGACACTATCCAGGTCCAACGGACAATAGAAAGAAAAATAGATTTATGGCCTCTGCTTTCAAGGAGTTTATTCTCTAATTGCAGTCAAGGGATTAAATAACCACAGAATGTTCCAGTAACCCTCTAAGATAACAGTAAGAGAAATGTTATAGGCAGTACATGAATGATTGCCAAATGAATTGTATAGATGCTTCTTGCTTTTCTGTAGTCAGTATCCAAGTAGAATTGTTCATTTGGTTTTACTTCTGTTTTACTCTATTATTTTGAGGTGGGGGATTGCATGACCTTATTTAATAGTACTGTGGTTTATTTGCTTTGGAATAACTAATTTTCAACTTTATGAAGTAGATGTCCCATTTTACAGAAGAGGAAACTGTGGCATTGAGAAGTTAAATAATTTGCCCAAAGACATATAACTAATGAATCATAAAGTTAGTATTCAGACCTAGGCAATTTAAATCCAAAACCCCTTCCCTCATTTTTTTACCCTATCATTTTCACTAAATATGTTCCCTATCATTTAAGTTGTTTGAAATCTTATTTTCAGTGGCTGCATAATTTATTTAATCATTCTCTCAATGCCTGTATTTCCAATTATATCTTCAGGATAAATTCTTGCATGTGGACTTCTAGTACTAAGAAATATAAAATGTCTAAGGCTCTTTAAATTGCATAAAGTTCTTTTCCAGAAGTGTTAAAAAATTATCGTCTGGATGTATTTTTCAATCCCATGTAGCAGTATTTTTCAATCCCATATGGTTACAAAATAAACAGGAAAACTCAGTAGCACCATGACAAAAGTAGAGATTAGGATAATAAATCAGAAACTATTAGAGCAGGAAGGAACTCCAGGTATCATCTGGACTTACTTTCTCTCACTCTTTTTTTGTTTTTTGAGTTGAAGTCTCATTCTATCATCCAGGTTGGAGTGCAGTGGTACAATAATGGTTCACTGCAACCTCAACCTCCTGGGCTCAGGCAATCCTTCCGCCTCAGCTTCTCAAGTAGCTGGGACCATAGGCATGCGCCACCATGCCCACCTAATTTTTTATGTCTTTTTATTTTTTGTAGAAATGTAGTCTCTCTATGTTGCCCAGGCTGGTCTTGAACTCCAGGGCTCAAGAAATTCTCTCACCTTGGCCTCTGAAAATGCTGGAATTATAGACCCGAGTCCCCACTGCTGGCCACTGTCTCCTTTTATTAAGGACTAAGCCTCAGAGAGGTTAAGGGACATGTCCCAAAACACATGGCTAGAATCAGAGTAGTACAAAAATCTACGCTCATCACCATGTGATATACTGAGCCTGAATCTCTTAGATGGTTTGGATGATTCAAGGGTGTCCTGAAATGTCCCTCTGGAGGAGCGACTGGAGATTTAAGAGACTTTTAGCATTTGGGCCAGCTTCATAGTTTCCCCCAAGCCTCACATTTGCATCAGAGGGGTGTGGAAGTAACCCAAAAGGGTCCGTCCTGAACTGAGAGGCCTAGTACTCACTCACAGAGATAAGAGAAGTCTGTTGAGCCAGAGGGAATCCTGAAACCCCTTTCATGAGTTTTCTTGGATCTGGCTTAGATCCACAAGGATGATACTGGCCTCTCTCCTCATTATTCTGTTAATGGTACGATACATTTGAACAAAGAGCTCTTCACATAATTAAAAACTCACATAATTCAAGACTGATTTTTTTTATAGCATTGACCAAAAATGGAGGGTATTTCTGTTTATTAGCCAGAGGTGAATCCATCATGTAGCAATCATGTAAACAAAATTTGCAACCTGATTTGGCTAAGTGGGGCAAATAACATACGGTTTCATTGGTTTAGCTCTATAAAAGAATGTTTCTTGCAAAATCTAAAGCAGGCTAGTTGACCATCCACTGTGTTGCAGATATACCATGCTAAGGATGCCAAGGCAGGGGAAGAGAGAGACAAACAAGTCACGTAGACTCTTAACAGACCCAGCCTGGAGGTGACATGTGCCAATCCTGTTCATTGTCCATTGGCTAGAACTAAAAACATGGTTCCAATCCAACCGGAGGAAAGGCTGGGAAAGGACTAAGGAACAACATACAGATATTTGATGACCACGAATGATCTCTTCCATGCACTTGATGCTTGGTGTTTTGAAATTGTCTATTTAAAAAAAATTGTAGGCAATTTCACATCATTTCAAGTTTTAAACATAAAGATGAAACTTTAATATTACTTTCCTTCAAATATGCTTAAAGGGCAACTCTATGGTGAGGTACATACTGGCATTTAGAGAAATCCTTTTGCCCTGTTAAAAATAACAGAACTTTTGGGACAACCTCTTCAGGTCTCCTCCTACTGAAGGAACTTTTCTGTCCTCAATAAATCCTGCTTTAAAAAAAATTAACAGAACTTTTGCTTAATAATTGTGAGATTTGGGTAAGTCAATGAAATTTTTCTAAACCTGTATCCTTATAGGAAATGGGATAAAAATTCCTCATTCATGGGTATTTTGCAAAAATTAGGTTGAAGATTACACATAGAACACTCGACAGTGCCCAGTACATGGTAATTGTTCAATAAATGTAAAATTTTATTTTCTTTGTATTGGTATGGTTAATATTATAGTGGAATCTACTACTGTACATGGTAATATAGAATCCTCTGAATCAGTGATGTGTCCATAACCATTAGAAGATAGTGTACTTTATGGGAACAATTGATGTTGTGTCCAGATGCCAGAAATAAAATGTCTTTATTGTCTGTATGTTCTTTGTAGGTCATGGGGAACTTCAAAGGTCATGCCCTCCCTGGAACCTTCTTTTTTATTATGGGTATTTGGTGGAGTTCAAAGAGTATTCTGAGGTACATCTTCAGAAAGCAAAAGCGGACTTGCTACGTTGGTTCCAAAGCATTATTCCAGCGAATAGACATTTTGGAGGGAATTGTATTAGTCAGCATGGCTTTAACTGGTGAGTGGACCATTTCTGTGTTCTGTTTTTACCTTTGGTTATTTTTGCGTGCAAAAATTTCTAATGTGAATTTTTTTTTCAAAATATCTCAACATGTACTCTAATTGTAATTTCTATCTGATATAATTTGTTAGAAAGTTGATACTTTATGTTTACACAAAGGCCTTTCTTAATGGATTCATCATAGTAGTTAACTACTCAAAGTGAATTTTCTTTACAGTATTGGTTAAAGTCTCTGAAATCATTTTATATCCATTGTTCTGATCCTTGATAAATGAGCCCTATCAAAAAACCACATTTTGCAAATGACATCAGAATTATCAAGTGACTGTGGACAAGCTTCAGTAATAAGTATTTGCTTCTAGCTGTAGAAGACTTTGACCTCATGCACTCATCCTTTTCTCTCTGATTCCTAAATTAGAGAAAGAGGTTAGGTTAGATGACTTCTAAGGCCTTTCCACTGACCGTGAAGAGTCTATAAAAATGTTCTGTTTTTAAAGAGTTCCATTGCAGCCCTTCCTTTATGAAATGTAAAATTGCCCGCTGGATTTCTTTTATGTTTTATTCATGGTAGTAGATCTTTGCCATAGCCATCAAATTACCCAGTAACATTTCCAAAGATAGAAATTTCCTTGCCAAATTCTATAGATTAACAAATAAGCAGTAGTTTAAAGAAAGTTTAACTGTTTGCATAACTGGCTAAAGCATATGCCAAATCCATCTGGGCTTTCTCAGTTATCCTTAACTGGGGAAAAGCTGAACTCTTTAGCATTTATATCTGGAACCAAGCACAACCTCCTACTTCATGACAGCTACCCGAAGATACAGTGTCTAAAAATGGAGTAATCAATCTCCATAGGACTAATCCCTAATCCAAACCCCCAAATCATTTGGGCTTTATCTACTTATTAGATTGGGATAGGCAGTGGAACAAAAAATATCAGCATTAAATATCTGAAATAGCCATTTGACTCAATTGGTTATCGTTGACCAAAATTGGTTATTTGAACCAGCATCTTAACTCTTAAACAAGCCTAAAGATCCAGTCTAGAGAGAAGAATCAGTGTCATAAGAGGATGCTAGATTGGAATAAACAATGGGCTAACCCCCCTGCACCTTCTTGCATTTAAAGTAAAGTAGGTTGCTAAAACTGTGATATGTTTCTCTACAGGCATGGCTGGGGAGCAGTTTATTCCTGGAGGGCCCCACCTGACCTTATATGACTATAAAGAAGGCCAGTGGAACCAACTCCTGGGCTGGCATCATTGCACCATGTATTTCTTCTTTGGGCTGTTGGGTGTGGCAGAAATCTTATGTTTCACCATCCGTTCACTTCCTGCCTCCTTACCCAAGTTAATGTTGGCAAACGCTTTATTTGTGGAGGGTAAGTATGACTGAGTATTTTCTTGTACCTTTCCATATTAGTGGGTATTTGTGTAGCCCTTTTTAATACTATACCTTTGGTGTTTTGTACAGCCATGATCAATAGGGCCATATATCTGGGCCATAATGAGATATTTGGGTGTCCTAGGCAGGACGCTAAGATCCTCTTTCCCTGCTGACTCATTTGGTAGAACGATGCAGACACAACCATTCAATTCCTTTATTCACATTTCACAACTGTCTTAAGGAACCCCTACAATGGTTACTTGTCTCCTGAAGATGATAATTATTTCCAATTTTAACAAGTGAAAACTGAACTCAGAGTAATAAAGCATGAATATATTGAAATGAGGCAATCATTCACAGCAGAACAACTTCCAGCATCTACCAACTAGAATATTCTATATTGATATAGTATGACCCTGCCATTATGTGATAAATAGGGTCCAAAAAATGTAGTCACATAAAAATATAAGGTCCTAATTTTGAGAGGTTAATTAAAAGCAACATTTTTGTTGTTGTTCAGTTGGTCTCTCAGTTACTGTAGGAGGAGAGAAAGAGAGGTGTTTAATGATTTGTTTTCATGTATTACACATATAAGAAATAGATGGAATATGGAACTAAAAAATCTCCAAATTGATTGGGAGATAGTTACTTCCTACTCACCTTGCCTCCAGCATCTGGAGATAAGAACATTTGCCCAACTTTGTTTGGGAGTAAGGGCTAGATAAAAAGTGGATGCCAACAACCAATAGCCTGATTCTCATTTTGAATGAACAGCTTTTCCTCATTATCTAAATGAAATGGGTTAAGATGAAACTGTAATCCGTCCCTGGTTTGAAAATCATGCAGCTAGTTACTACTTCTTGGGAACTTCTAGAGCATCTTGTCATGCCTATCAAAGTCCACCTTTCTGATTTACATTTGTGTTTGCTTCCTCCAATGGACTGAATTCTTTAAGGCGAGGCTTCAGTGTATTCATCTATGTATTCACCTTAATTATGACTCCCCTGTCCTTGTTATGCTGATTATTCTTCATTCTGCATGGAAGATTCTTTGAAATATAGTTAGTTGAAAATGTCATGATGTGTTAGAGGAGAGACTAAAGGTTAGGAAGGGAAAAGGGAGGTTGGACTTCAAAGATTCCATTCTCAACAGGTAATGGTGAGTCCAAAATGCTCGAAAGTTACAGGACTGTGGGAATCAGTGGGCACTTGCTCTTCTAGACAAATGTGCATGTGGATAACATTCTGTGAACAGAGACAGGGAGAGAGAGAAGCAGTGAGTGGTTCTTGGTTCACTGACAAAGACAATCTGTTTTCCCCCAATTGTTAGCTTTTATCTTCTACAACCACACTCATGGCCGGGAGATGCTGGATATCTTTGTGCACCAGTTGCTGGATCTGACCATCTTTTTGACAGGCGTGGTTACCTTCGCTGAGTTCCTCATGCGGAACAATTTCCTTCTGGAGCTTTTACGGTCAAGTCTCATTCTGCTTCAGGGGACTTGGTTCTGGCAGGTGAGTTGAGGTCTCCAGGTACTGTACCTGGTACTTCCACCTGCAACATCTCTCTTTATTTGATGGGACATTTTGCTCTAGAACCCACACTTCCCTGTAGTGTGCTGCCGACAGTGAGACCATGGGCTCTGAGAGGTGATGTTTCTTCAAGTGGCCCAGTGGCCCTGGTGGGGGCATTGTCAGAGATGCTGGGAAGGAAGGGGTTATGCACATCTTTATCACACACCTGAATATCTTTATGTAGAAACTCTGAGCTGATGCTTTTAGTTAGAAGCACTTTCTGATGCTAAAGCAGCTTATTGCTTAATGGGTAATAAGCTTAAAAATATGTATGAAAGACAGAAAAGAGAGGGAACTATTATCCAGTGAGAAACCATTATATGTTGGCCACTGTACCGAACTTTTACATACACGTTGTTTCATTTTGTCCTTGCAAGAACCTGGAAGTTGGGCATTATCATCCCTAATTTATCCTGTTCTAACAGAAAGACTCAGAGAGCAGACACACAATAACGGACCTAAGGATCTAATTCTTAACTTGTCGGACCCCAAATCCCAGGTTCTTTCCATTTTATACTGTCAACTCCCTAACCCTGGTGTGTTGTTGAAAGCATGAATTTCGTAAACATATGGCTAATGAAACCTAAAAAAAAAAAGAAAGCATGAATTCTAGCCAATAAACATACATTTTGTAGAGACTGGTAAAGCATGAAAAAAAGAAACCACGTGGAAAGTGATAAGAAAGCATTGGTAGGTGAGGGAGAGAGAAACAATAGTCAAATGGAAGGAGAAAGATGTCATATTTAAGCATGTGGGAAAATGGAAAGGCTGTTGACAAAAGAATGATAAAGATGGCCTAGATTAAAGGGTTCGTTTTTGTTTTTTTCGAGTTGGAGTCTCACTTTGCCGCCCAGGCTGGAGTGCAGTGGTTTGCTCATGGCCAGCCCAGAGTTGACCTGCCGGGCTCAGGTGATCCTTCTGCCTCAGCCTTCCATGTAGCTGGAACTACAGGTGTGCGCTACCACGCCCAGCTAATTTTTGATTTATTGTAGAGACGAGGTCTCACCAAGTTGCCCGGGTTGATCTTGAACCCTCAGGCTCAAGCAATCCACTCACCTCAGCCTCGCAAAGTGCTGGGATTCCAGGCTGAGCCACTGAGCCTGGCCAAGTGTTGTTTTAATGGAAACATTTTATAGAAAAAAACTAACAAATACCCTGTAATGTAGTGAAACTGATAGTTGGTTAATTTGACCAGTTTATAAACAAATTTTTATATTGGATTATTTGACATCTGCTGGCAACCTAAATTGAGCAAATAAGATGCTAAATAAAAGACTGTTATGCACTCTATACCCCTTGATTTGGATGTTTCATTATATGCATGTATTACCTATTCAAAAAAAAAAAATACATAGAATATTAAAAGAGATGATTTCTGGTCAAAATGACACAACCAATTTATCTTCAGTGTATCCTGTGTGCTCCTAACACATAACAGTGATACATAAAATATTAAAAATACCTAGAAAAGAAAACAAAAGGTTTCTTTTGAGTGGAGGGTCTCACTTTGTTGCCCAGGTTGGAGTGCAGTGACATAATCGTGGCTCACCGCAACCTCCACCTCCTGGGCTCAGGTGATCCTTCTGGAACTACAGGTGTGTGCCACCACCACACTGGCTAACTTTTTTGACTTTTTGTGGAACAAGGTCTTGTCATGTTGCTTAGGCAGTTCTCAAACGCCTGGGCTCAAGCAATCCTCCCTTCTTGGTTTCCCAAAGTGCTGGGATTATAGGCATGACCCACCACACCCAGCCCAGAAAAATCTTTTAAATAAATTTAAACAACAAAGAAAAAACCATCTAACTGTAATTAAACAAAATAAACAAAAACAGGGCGGAGTAGAAATGTACACAGCAGGAGCAGAGCTGAGCTGCAGACTGCTGGCTGCTGGTCCAGAGAAGACAGTGATGGCTTGAAAGGAGTCTTTTAACTTTCTTTTAGTCCCACTTTTTGGCTCTCTTTTCAAGGTAGGCGATGAAGCCAGGCTCTTGGGACTCTGTTTTTAATATATTCTATATTTGTAATTGTTTTTCTTCTGAATGATCTTTCACGTTCTGATAGAAGTCTGTGAAAGTTTTCTATTATAGTTAAGTATTTGTCAACTTCTTCTTCTTTTCAGTTTTTGCTTTGTTATAAGCCAATTTTTGCCTCTCTTTTTTCAGTTTTTTGAATTGGATGCTGGTGTCATTTATTTTCAATCTTTCTTGTTTTAAAGTAGATACATTTAAATAAATACATTTGTCTACACACTACTAAAGCTGTCTCCTATAAGATCTGATGTGTAGTGGTTTTCATTGTTGGGCAATTTGAATGCTGCCATTTCCATGTGTTTTCCTCTCTAATTTATAAGTTATTTAGGAGTACTAAGTTCCCCAAATTATTCTTTTTCTTATTCATTTCTAATTTAATTGTTTTTGGTCACATAATGTGTTCCCTTTATATATGTCGAGACTTCCTTTGGAACATAGCCCAATGTCGGTGTTTATAAATGTTCCATGCATTTGAAAAGAAAGAATATCCTCTTTTTTGTTGGGTTTAAGATTCTATATCTATGTACTAGATCAAGTTTGTTAAAAAGCTAAATACTCAAATAAAGAAAGTTAGACCTTAAGAACAAGAGGGGAAACCCCAAGAGAGTTGAAGAAAAGAATTATAAAGAGCAAAATTAATGAAATTAATTAATGTTCAGTTAATAATGAATGACTAATGCTTAGGATCTGAAGGAGGAAGCTGTGGCCTATATTTCAGTTGGGAGTAGATTATTTAATATTGGCCCTTTGGGCAGAGAAATAATGTTTCCATATTTCCCCACAGGCTTTTCTAGGAATGAAGTTAAAGTCTTTGGGCATAAATCTGTGATTATTTAGACATTTTTTCATCTACCAAAATGTCTAGACCACTTTCCTTTTATACCTACTGGCCAGCCTAAATAATGCCTGCAGCCTTAAAGAAAAATGAACACTTTATACCAATGCAAACACACACACTGGCAGGAAATGAAGGTTTAGCCATAGTACTCCCCCACTCTTACATTCCTCAGAAACAAAAAGTTAGGAAACATAGGTGAATTTATAATGCTTCCGTGTTTTGCTGATATGTGTGGTATATGAATGTTATGGCCAAAACGCTTTCTTAAACTAACTATATTACACTGCGATTTGCTTTGCCCTGTATTTTTACTTCTTCGTATATGGTTAATACTAGTGCACAAACTATATATAGACATTAGAGAAAACACCCATCTAGATTTCTTGGAACCATATGAATAGAGATGTGAACTGAATGAAGCAGATGCTCGGATTGGCTACTTTTTAATAACTTGTGTATATATGCAAAGCAAGAGTGGATTTCCCTCCCAACCCCATAAAAAATGGTTTCTTTCCTGAACCACATCACAGTCAAAAATGTTTTCTCACTAACCTAGCCACATCATGCAAGTTAGAAAAGGAAAAAAAATCCTTCAGTTCCCTTCATTCCATGAATCATGCTTTCCCTGTGTCTCTGTGTGGGAGGATATTTCAGAAGCTCGCTTTGCACCTCCTCACTCCCAGGCTTCCTCCCCATCATCTTAGAGCCCAGGCACGGGACAGTCAGGGAGTGAGGAGGACGCTCCTGCTGTCTCTGCTTTTTGTTATTTCGGACAGTAGCTTTCAATGCGTATCCCAGCCCCATTAGTCCTCTCCCACTCCCAGGGATTCCTTCCATGACCACCTAGATCAGGGGTCCTCAAACTACGGCCCACGGGCCACATGCGGCCCGCTGAGGACATTTATCCGGCCCACCGGGTGTTTTTGCCGCCTTAACTTGTTACGACTAGCAGTGACAAATATGGAACCAGACATTGACCATCTCATTAGCCAACAGCAGGCCCATAGTTCCCACTGAAATACTGGTAAGTTTGTTGATTTAACTTTACTTGTTCTTCATTTTAAATATTGTATTTGTTCCCGTTTTGTTTTTTCACTTCAAAATAAGATATGTGCAGTGTGCATAGGAATTTGTTCATAGTTTTTTTTTTTTAAACTATAGTCCGCCCCTCCAACGGTCTGAGGGACAGTGAACTGGCCCCCTGTTTTAAAAGTTTGAGGACCCCTGACCTAGATTCTGACCCTGAACTCAAACTCAGCTTTGTTTTGCCTTTAAGAAGGACAGAATTTGCTGCGCTCAGTGGCTCACACCTGTAATCCCAGCACTTTGGAAGGCTGAGTTGAGAGGATTACTTGAGCCCATGGGTTGAGACCAGCCTGGGCAACACAGTGAGACCTG